AGTTATTGTGTGAATTACCGGAGTAATTGGTTCGGGTCCGGTGAGATTTTGGAATGAATTGGAATACTTAGTCCCAAGGTTTAAAGCTTAAGTTAAAATAGTGACCGAATGTCGACTTATGTGTAAACAACCTCGGAATGGAGTTTTGATAATTTCAATAGCTCCGTATGGTAATTTTGGACTTAGAAGCGTGTCCGAAAAATTATTTGGAGGTACGTAGTAGAATTTGACTTGAAATGCCAAAAGTTGAATTTTGGGAAGTTTGACCGGGGGGTTGACTTTTTGATATCGAGGTCGGAATCCGATTCTGAAAATTTGAATACCTCTGTTATTTTATTTATGACTTGTGTACAAAATATGAGGTCAATTGGATATTATTTGATAGGTTCCGGAGTCGTTTGTAGAAATTAAAAATTTTAAAGTTCATTAGGCTTGAATTGGGGTGTAATTCATGGTTCTAGTGTTGTTTTAGGTGATTTGAGGGTTCGACTAAGTTCGTATGATGTTTTAGGACTTATTGGTATATTTGGTTGAGGTCCCGAGGGGCTCGGGTGAGTTTCGAATGGTTAACGGGTTGGATTTTGGACTTGGAACTCTGCTGGAATTTTTCTGATGCACCATCTGGTTTCCTTCATCGCGTTCGCGAGTGGAGCCTCGCGTTCGCGAAGAGGAACTGAGAGGCTGGCAATATTTGCTCTTCGCGTTCGCGAAGAGAAGAACGCATTCGCGAAGAAGAGAGGAAGCAGCTGAGGACCCCAGGCAATTGGGCTACGCGTTCGCGTAGGGGGTGTCGCGTTCGCGTATTGAGGGGGAATGAAGCATCGCGTTCGCGATGGGTTGAACGCATTCACGTAGAAGGCATTGAGGCAGAGGCATTTTGTGCTTCGCGAACGCGAGGGTGATGTCGCGTTCGCGAAGCAGGAATTTGGACGGGAACTATTTTGTGCTTCGCGAACGCGAGGTACTGACCGCGTTCAAGAAGAAGAAAAGCCTGGGCAGTGAGTTTAAGTTCTGAAATGGGACTTCGTCCCATTTTTAATTTTTGACGATTTGGAGCTCGGATTGAGGCCAGTTTTGGGTGATTTTCAGAGGAAACAACGAGGTAAGTGTTCTTAACTCAATATTGGTTAAATTACCCGAATCCATAATTTTTTTTTCATTTAATTGGCGAATTAATTTGGAAAAGTTTGAAAACCCTCTTAGTTTAAATTGAAGATTTGAGGGTCGAGTTGGGGTCGGATTTTGATAAAATTAGTATGGTTAGACTCGTGGTTGAACGGACTTTCGGATTTTGTAACTTTTGTCGAGTTCCGAGATATGGGCCCCACAGGCGATTTTTGAGCTAAAATTCGAATTTTTATGAAAAATTAGCATTTTCTTATGAAGTTAATTCCAATAAATTTTTTTGACTGAAACGAATTATTTGTGACTAGATTCGAGGCATTCAGAGGCCGAATTGCGAGGCAAAGGCATAGCAGAGTAAAGAATTTCACGCTCTGAGGTAAGTAAAACTTCTAAACTTGGTTCTGAGGGTATGAATCCCCGAATTTGATATAATATGAATTGTTTGGAGGTGACAGACACGATAGGTGACGAACATGTAGACGTGCACCACAGAAAGTGTGCGTTGAATAATTCCTGTGAAGAAGAAAAATTAAAGAATCATGTTATTATCTGAACATGTGGCACGTGTTAGAGGAATTAAGCTGCGGCTAGTAATAAAGATCATGTTTAGGCTATGTATCGATATTTTAGGACCCATGGGGTCGTGATGCTATTGAATTAATTGTTCTAAAATATACATTTCATACTCAATAATAATTATCCAGTGTAAGGATATTTATGGGATTGAGCTGCGCAACGCAGCAGGCCATTTGGCTTTATATATGTTATTATTTTATGGATCGGGGTTGCCCGCCTGCAGCAGGCCTTATTGGCTTTACTATTTTATGGATCAGGCCTGCCCGCCTGCAGCATGCCTTATTGGCTTTACCATTTTATGGATCGGAGCTACCCGCCTGCAGCAGGCCTTATTGGCTTTACTATTTTATGGATCGGGGCCGCCCGCCTGCATCATGCCTTATTGGCTTTACTATTTTATGGATCGGGGCTGCCCGCCTGCAGCAGGCCTTATTGGCTTTATTATTATACGGATCGGGACTGCCCGCCTGCAGTAGGCCATATTGGCTTTATATCACGCTTGGGCTGAAGGAACCCCTTCGAGAGTCTGCACACACCCCTAGTGAGCGCGGTCGATTTATAGTGCTTGGGTTAAAGGAGCCCCTCCAGAGTCTGTACACCCCCAGTGAGCGTAGATGATTATATATATTCGGGATGGATTTTCTAGGGCATGGACTTGCCTTACTTACTGCTTATATATATGTTTGGGATGGATTTTTCCAGGGCATGGACTTGCCTTACTTATTTATATTGTAATGAATTTATCTGGATATGGATCTTGTCCGTATCATTTATATTTGGGGATAAATTACCCCAGGGCTGGATTGACCTTATATCGTACTAAATGACTGTCTATCAGTCGATGTGTATATATATATACAGGTTGGAACACCCTGGGGCTGGACTGGCCATAAACGGTACCGAATGACCAAATAATTGGTGACCAGTATCTACAGGAGGTCTTTCTACTGAGATGTCATATTCCTTATATCATGCAGTATTGATCTATTTCACTTGTACTAGGTTTATCTGTTGAACTTAAAAGCATGCCTACATTTTTGTACCATTATTTTTACTGGACTGTACCTGCGGAGCTCATCATTTCTTTCATCCCAAAGGTTAGTCTTGTTACTTATTGAGTTAGTTGTACTCATATTACACTCTGCACCTCGTGTGCAGATTCAGGTGCTTTCGGACACGGAGATTGTTAAATTTCAGAGTACTGTCAGTTGGAGACTATCAAGGTAGCTGCTTGGCGTCCGCTGACCTTGCCTCTCTTTCCTTCAGTTATTGTACTGTTCTATACTTTCAGGTAGTGGTTTTTATCAGTCAAATATTGTATTCACATTAGATGCTCATGTACTCAGTGACACCGGGTTTTGGGAGTGATATATTTTAAATTTTGAGATTTCTTCTACTGAATTTAATTATTTTGTTTTCAAATTTAAGAGAAATTGTGGTTTATTGAGATTTTTGGGCTTGCCTAGTATTGAGATATGTGCCATCACGACGGGTGAGATTTTAGGTCGTGACAGATACGTGCTTCTACAGGATTTTGGAGATCGGGCGGCTGCAGCTCGACTGGTCTTTGGTCACGGCCCTGATAGAGCAGTGGCGACCGGAGACGCACACATTCCACCTGCCCATTGGCGAGGCCACCATCACGCTGCAGGACATGGAGGTTTTATATGGGATGCATATTGATGGACTGTCCGTTGCACTGCCTCAGGCCATGAGAGAGATGACGCGTGGGCAGTATTTGGACATGCTGCAGCAGCTCACTGGTTTCAGGCCACAGGATGAGACTGCACACTTAGGGGCCAGTCGCATGAGTTTGACAGCTCTTGAGAATTTAATAAGAAGAAAAATTTGAACGGGAGTTAGGAATATTTTTGAATGGATTTTTGTAAAATCCTAACGCCTTTAAATAAGGTAATGCCTAGCTCGGGGGAAGGGGGGGGGGGGGCTGAATTTTTTTAGGTATAACGCTCTTTTAAAGGGCGCTATACCCATTTGACTTATTGTTATGTCAGTTAAATGCAGGAGACTTATTGGTGGGCCCACAAAACAAGTATAGCGCTCTTTATAACTGCGCTATACATATATAGCATTGTTTCTAAAGGCGTTATATGTATAACGTTCTTTTAAAGAGCGCTATACTTTAATGTCCAAAATGTCCGTTAAAGTATAGCGCTCTTTAAAAGAGCGTTATACATAGTTAGGTAACTCTTTTTTTTTTTTTTTTTTTACACGCATTGCCGTTCTTTTTGTGAAAAAGAACCACAAATGGGTTCTGAACTGTTAGGATGTAACTTGAATCCTAGTTATCAATCAAAGGACTGGATTTTTGGTTATGACTAGCCGTCAGTTAGTGACCTATTTAAGCATTGGTTAGTTAAGAAATATGGATTGAATTATACAGTGTACTTTGAGGTAAAATGGTTTCAATTATCTATGAAATATCAGTCCCCTTTATATGAAAAGACAATGCTCAGGTCATTTTCCTCAGCATATTGACCTAACCCTTTTGATGGAGTAATTTTCTTGTTGGCTTTCTGTGACTGAATAGCCAAAACATATAGAAATACTGCCCTCCGTCCACTACCTCCTTGAAAAAGAAAACAACCCCACCCCCCACCCCAAAAAATATTGAGCAAGAAATCAAATAAGTTTAACAGTGGATTATTGATATTTGGCTATAATTTCATATTTTTAGTGTATTACTTATCTTACATTTTGGGGCTTTAATGCTAAACTATACTATATTTGTGCTTAATTGTGTTTATTTTATGTGTAGGTACGTTGAAGACGAAATTGTGAGCAAAGTAGAGATTTTATGTGTATTTTATACACTACAAGAATGGAGCTATGATTATTTGATTATTGAATATACAAGGAATTTTGCTCGCGAAACATCTTGCTTCGCACAGTGGAAAACTCAACGGGATTGTTAGCTAACTCACAACTCTAGAATATTCACTCACATTGAATTCGTCTTTAAGCTTGTCGTTATTTTCTTTAATCTCTTAATTTGTTACTCTAGATTAATTTTAGTTAAATATTCATACGTTATGATTCACTTGAATAGATTAATTGTTTGATTTAATTTTGTTGATAGTTAATCACAAGTCCCTGTGGTACGATATCTGGACTTACAATCCTATATTACTTGTCGACCACGTATACTTGTGTGTGCGTTTGGAAGCAACAAGTTTTTGATGTCGTTGCCGGGGATCGAACCCGGGTCACCCGCGTGACAGTCGGGAACAAGTTTTTGGCTTGAATATAACATTAGAAGCTAACTATACCATATGGATTACCAAGTGATATCTACTCTATTAAGATTAACAATTTGGACCTCCTCTATATACTACAAGAAGGCTGTTCCTAAGGAGTCCTACTTCAGCATTAACTACAACTACATTACACAAGCTCCGCAAACACCAACCTATACAGTAAAACTTTAAGAGTATGGACGGACGACTTGCTACGTTCATAGATTCAATAAGTTAAACTTCGTCAAACTCCCTAATCAATATTAACAATATATCAGTGACACAGCTTCTGACTTGAGATGCCAACATCTCCTATATTTCTGAATTGCCAGAACTCATCAATGTTCCACAATTGGTCCGTAAACCAATTGGCTTCTGCCATCCCATTATACTCTGAGATGGACATATCTTGAGATTCTAGTGCTGAAAAATATGGTTGCTCCTCAAAATAGCTGCTGCTAGTCTCCAAATGATAACAATCTTCTTGAGTTGAATTGCTGTAAACAGAGTTACCAGTAAAGCTAGTGGCATTTTCTGCCATACTTTTGGATTCTGGTGAGTAAAATCTTGGACTAATTTCCTGGCATGTATTTGGTTTTGGATTTATTAGTGATTGCAAAGATTCTTGCTCGTTGATTAAGGAAGAAGGAAGAGCAGAATTCTGCTTTTCAATATCGGAAAATGAAGAAAAAGAAGGGGATGATGAAGAGGGACAATATTGCTCCATTTTCTCAAGCAACCTAGGTATCCAAAAACTCCTAATTGCTTCAAGAAACTTTGTACTGTTAGAATCAACCTTAAGTTGTCGCGCTTGTTTTTGCACCCTTGTTCTCCAATAATTCTTAATCTCATTATCTGTTCTTCCAGGTAAATGCTCTGCTATTTTCGACCACCTATATCCACAAACATTATTAAATGTAAGTTTAAAATCTAGTGAGTTTAAAAAAATGTATGATACATGTTTTAAAAAAATTGTATATGTTTACATATGAGTGAACACACTAGCTAACTTTAGTTAAACCCGCTCTATATTCGCCTCTCAAATTGGTAAAAGTCTTGGATATATTTACCTGTTTCCCCATTTAGAGTGGAGTTCAAGGATTAAGAGTTGTTCTTGTGGGCTAAGGTTTCCTCGTTTAACATCAGGTTTCAAGTAATTCAACCATCTCAACCTACAACTTTTCCCTGTTCTCTTCAATCCTGCAAAAGTTAGAAAACAGAAAAGTTGAATATCATGAGACTTTCTAAAGGACTTATTCTTACTTGGATTAATCAAGAATTGTGTTAAGAAAATTATGCCTTACCAGAAGATTTGGCTAAGGCATTCCAACGACCCTCGCCATGGCTAGTTACATGATTAATAAGAAGGTTGTCTTCCTCAGTAGTCCATGGCCCTTTTCTTAACTCAAATGCATCTTCATTTGAGGAATTACTACTTGTGCTCTTGACTAATCTCCCTTTTCTCATTTGAGAAGAAAATTGAGAGAGTGAAGGTTTTTGTGCTTAAGTTGAAGAGTGATAGAGGATATAAAGCCAGCTAGGGAATTTATAGATGACAACAAGGATAGTCGTAAGCGTTAAAAGGAAAATATTAAAAGTAAGTCATTTCCACGTGATAGTAATCCCTTTTCGTTCTTAAAGAGAAAAAAAACTGATGTGGTTTGTTCTATACGTATATTCAATATTTATATTAATGGGAGGTAATAAATATTCATTAACATAATTGAGAATCACGTAAATTGGCTCAGGGCAGTGGTGGACCTATGTATAACATTGATGGGTCATCGAACCCCGAAGTTACTTCGGTAGAAATCTTGTATATGTATCTATATATATATCTTAAATAATATGAATACATAAATAACTTGGCACCATGAACGCTAAATCTTTAGAGGGCACCGTTTGAATAGAATTGTCTTAAAATCCTGAGTCCGCCTCAGGGTTTACAATGTACCAAGTAGTAAGCAGAATAATGCTCTTTGTATGACTTCTAAGTCTGCGGAAACTACATGTGGATGGACCCTTCCTTCCACTTGAGGATGAATCTTGAGTTCTTGACCACTTTACACATTTTTAAGGCATCCCCCACCCAACCCTTTCCCTGCTTCTAAAGCAGACCAGCTTAATACACAAAATTGACACTTCAACTTATATGATTTTGTAGAGCCTGCCTCTTTACTTAAAATTTTTCCAACTAACCACTTCATGTTGGCATACTTAAACTTTAGCCTAAAATATGTGCAAGTGAAACCTTAGCTTAAGATATCCCTGAAATATTTGGCTCGTCATGTATATATTTGCCTTATGTTTACCTTTAGGTTGATGAAAGATTTAGTTTTATCCCACATTTGCTTTTCCCTCTAACTATTGTCGTGCTTGGCTCTGACGTTTTCGATGGTGAAGCCACGTAAATAAAATAAAATATTCAAATTTATTCAAAAATATTTATTATCGTTTGTAATGATTTGAAGCGTGCCCTTGAATAATTAAAAATATCTCAATATACGCATGAACAATTGAAAATGTCCAAATATACTTTAACGTTGTTTCTACTATATCAAACAAATCACACCAACTTTCGATGGAGGAAACTTTTAACGGGAGGGCCATATTTGAGATGAACGAAAGAAAGAAGTGTATTGGAAATTTTCCTTTTTTAAATAAACATTATATATAGAATATAGTACATAGATTCTTGATTGAGGAAAGGAAAAAAGAGCTAGGGCGGTGGGGGGAGGGTTTCCATTGGTGACACTAGATAATGCACTAATATATGGAAATGGGGCTTGATACGATGTATAGAATTGGATGGATTTTCCATGGATTCCTAGAGAACATTGCTTTGCTGCCTTCTTGGAAATTGATTAATTCCTCCTCTTGTGCTTGAGCTTGACTATACTATAGACTATATACTACTATTAATTTACTATTAAAGTCCTAGGGAATTAAACGTGGGACTATTGGATTTGATCAATATCAATAGGTCTGCAATCATTACAGAGTTATCATCACTTTTAGACCGCGCCAGAAACTATTTATATTTGGTAGCCGAAAAAGTATATAAATTTTGTATAATTTTTTTTATATAACATACAGTATATATATATATATATATATACAAAAAATATATAAATTTTATACATTTTTTCAGCTATTATTTTTACAGCGACTATACAGTGTCATTTTCCCGATCATAATAGGGCTAAAGAGAATGTGTGGAATTTCTTAACATTTTCTGTGTTTCAAGATAATGATGTTTGTCTCAACCCGTACCTTTGTTTTTAACTATTTATTAGTTTTTCTTCCGATATTTGATATTCATTTTGGGCCGACTAATTCAGGATTTATATCATGTTTTACAGGGTAAAATGCTTCCAATCAAAGGTGACTCCATACACAGAGTTCGAATTCGAGACTCCTAGTTAAATATAGAAGAGTACTTATCACTTTACCATAATCTTTGGTGGTATGTTATTTTATGCTATTCGCTTTTTTTCTCCGTATTCAATATCAATTTTTAATGTTAAAAAATTCAAAAGGCTAACAAATCCAAAAACTTTGCGTATTCAAGATGTATTATCTTAAGTGCCAAGTATTAAAATAATACTTTCTGAAGGAACATATAACATAAATGTGTCCGCAATAGAAGTTTCCAATGGGTATCATATAAATGGAATATCCAATTAGGCTAAAGTGTAGTGGAAATTCGTTGGAAATTACTTAGAAGCTATATGAAACATTGGAGGAAATAGCTAGCTAGGAGAAGAATCTCTGAGAGGCCTCAGGAATTTGTATCCTTTCACTTCTGGATGATTATATTCTTTTTTTTATTTATTTAAAGAAAAAAGATACTCCATCCGTTCCAATTTATGTGAACCTGTTTGACTGGGTACATAGTTTAAGAAAAAATAAAGACTTTTGGAATTTGTGGTCCTAAACAAGTCAAAAAAGGATCCAGGGTATTTGTGCAGTTATAAAAGCTTTTCATTAAGGATAGAATTTTAAGTTTAAGCTAAATTGTTTCCAAATTTAGAAAGGGGTCATTCTTTTTGGAACGGACCAAAAAAAATAGGTTCAGATAAATTAGAACGGAGAAAGTATCTAATAAGTGGGATTATATCTCCATAAACACGTATGTGTACGTTTACTTCTGCGTTTGTTTGTCTTTTCAAGATTGTATCATATCCTTTTCATTTTATGCTGACTAAAAACTCAATAACATCGTATTCCCTAACCTCTCAAACTTTTCTTTCATATTTCATCAAATTTATAAAAAAAAAAAAAAATACTATCTCAAAGGATCATATAAGGTTTTGAGCAATAGTTTTAGTGGGTAGAAGGGATGCTTTGTTTTATGTCCAATTTCGAAGCCTAAAGATTACTATGAATGTGACTGAGAGAATCATGCTTTGAGTACTTTCTTTGTCTATGATAACATTATCTCTAGTTCCTAAAATGTTATATGAGATTGAAATTATTGTTTATCCTTATAACGAAAAATAATTAAATTTGTATGCGATTTTAAAGATGTGTGGATTGATTCAACACAAGTAATCAGGAATGTTAGATGAACGAATAAAAGATAAAATGAGTAACCAAACCAGTTGTGACGTTAAGGACGGGCTCAGATTCAAGCTGAACAATAGTTTTGCCCTCGACTGAACCCTCAATTCGAAACCAAATGTGTATGAAGAACTACAAATAAAATAAGAACTTTTCAATAGCTAGAAAACAGAGAAATAAGTTTGTATTGCCTTGATGTGCATGTTACAATATCCTCTATTGAATAAAAAGATTCCATTTTATATAGTAGGGGAGTTTTATCCTTAGTACAATTCTAAAAAAAGGTAAAAATCATCTTCTCTCGTTAATTACTGATCTGCAACCGCCATTGAGCGAGATCTACGCCGTGATATCTGATTGGTTCTGGATATCACAGCACTTTGTTAGTCGTGTGCAACCGTTGCCATGCTCTGCTAGGTCTCGGAGCTCATTTTGGGTTCAGAGAGTGTTGTCTTATCAGGCTCGATGGCAAGCACTCTATTTGGGCCTCGGTACAAGAAGTTCCCAGCTTCGATTCCGATCTCATATAATCATATCCTTGCTTCGTTAGACCCACCGGGAAATCGAGGTATGTGTTAGCCTCGGTTTCACCCGTATATAGATAGTCCCCTCATTTCACAGAGAGTAGGTTTGCCGAAATGATGGAAAATTGTCGCGCCCCATTTTCTCGCGAAAGCGAGTCTCGACGTGTGACAACTCTTTTGGATGGAAGATAGGGTGTTAAAAGAAGAAGAGTCACCACCTAATAATTTTTAAGGTGCGTTAGGGCACCTATTTGCAAGTAAATCTGTTTTGACTAGTCAACGTCACCAAAGATTGGGTAAGGGCTCAAATTACCTCACAGAGAAAGTTTTAGGCACTCTTCGAGGTCCACAACTGTGGGTCCTGACCGAATTTAAAATTATGTGGATTATAATTAGACGAGATGATCAAATAAACAAAGAGAATACAAGGTCAAAAGGTTTCATTATAAAACAATGAGAATTGGTACAAATCTTAAGGACTACAAGGATACAACTATAACGGTCTATATTAGGTNGTGCCCTATGCGTGCACTATCTGTCCTATACCTATGGTCCAGGAGGTATTGGACCTCTATTTGGGTGGTTCTCGACCTTACTTAGGTTGCTCAAATATGTCAAAACTAGGCGACATATAAAACACATAGGACTTCATGTAAAGACAGTTAAGGGCTCAAGTTAGCCTCCACACTTAGACAATAAATGCACGCAAAACAGGTTTTCGCATTGAGCGTTAAGCAATTTCAGAACTTGAGACAAATTAAAGCCATTAAGCCCTGTAGGCATGGTTTCTACGTGATTCCGGATTCCAGCAACATGATTACTCTTAGTGAAGAGGTAGTAGACTATTTACGAACTTTAGAGCTATTAACGCTGGTTTTGTAGATACCTGTTTTTAGATAAGTCACATTGTCCTATAGGCATGATTTCTAATGATGGCACAGTTAAACAATGAAAATAATTCTGGGAACCCAACCTTGATAAGTTGATCTCATAAACAAGATTAAGCGAGTGACAATATCCTATAGGCAGGATCTCTAGCAATTGACATCGAACCTGATCTTATAATACCTTATCCCTATGAGCATGTTATCTAGGCGGAGCAATATGATAATGGTAACATTAGCTAATTGGTTAATTAAGGTCCTATAGACATGATTTCTAAGCGAAGATAAGTAAAACATAAGCTAGTATAGTCCTATATGCATGGTATCTAATAAATATGCTGTAGTTAAACGAATTGAAAGAAAGTTCATTGACATTTGCTTCCTATAGGCTTGCTGTCTAGTAACACATAGCAGTAGACATAGAAATAAATAAAGCATTTGAACTCATGCTTTGATGGTAGACGAGTAGTGTGTGTGTGATTCTCCTAATGACATGATTTCTAACAGTGCACATAAAAATTGAAAATCA